TTTATTTTTATTTTAAAAATAATTATTGTTCTATAAAATAGACAAACTTATAAACTAGTCTTACCTAAATTTATATAAGTTATGACATAAACGAACTAGATCAAAATAGAATTAATTTAATATAAGTCATAAATTTTTTTATCTAAACTAGTATATTTTTCGGATCATTCAAATTGGTGTATCTGACTAAATATGTTTTTACACCCTTAAAAATTTTTATAATCTTATTTATTTGTTAATTATACAAATAAATTAGTTAGCTCAAATAACATAATTCTAGTATTAGTTAAATTGTCGTGAAGTGTCTATTATGATTATGATAAAAATCAATGTACTATTTTTTGCATTAACAATATCCTTTGAATTGCCTAGTCCTTTAATTTCCTAATGGATTTTTTTTTTTACTTGATTATGTGTCATTGGATCCCTCGTTTTAGATCTCAATTATGATTAAGGCTAATAATAATTTATTCAATTGTATTGTTGGAGCATGAATTTTCTTTCCCCTAAGACATATTGTAGGACGCACATCCTTTTAATGTTCCTTTAATATGAAAAAAAGATGTTAAAGAGTGCACTTTTGTTACTTTACTATTTGAAAAAGGTGCAGAATTGTGACATGAAATGCTTACACTTACGAATGAGTGTTTCACGTTGAAGCTCAATGATTTTGGTTTTCGGATACATTCCACATTTAAATGACTTAGTTTCTAACCATTTAACTAAACTATTTCAAAAACTCCTCATATCAAATATTTTTAATTCAATGGAAAAAAAAAGTATAATGGAAAAAAATATTCCTTTAAAAGTGGTTGGATACTTTTTCCAAGACTAATTAACTGTAACTTTGATAAATATTTTGAAGTGATAACATAACTATAATCTAAATAATCAACTAATAATTAGTTTTATTAATCTCTACATAAAATATCGTATTTGATATTTATATAAGAAAAGAAAAGAAAAAAAGTCAATAACTAATTTTCATATAACACATCTTCAAAAAAAAAAAAAAATTAAAATGTGATGATGCTCCAAACTGATAATTAATCAAGGGTCGGTTCTGAGCTTAATTATTTATCAGGTATAATGACATATAGTCTCAAATTGGAGGGGGTAAAAAAGACCCCTTTCATATTTCAATAAAAAAAATGACCGATTTTTTTTTTTACCTTTTTAATTTAATAATCAATTTAACTAATTAAAAAATTATTTTTTTACTTGATGTTTTTACATTTATGTTTTGTTGGATTGAAAAATGATTTTGAAAGAGTGAAAAACGTGAGAGATAAAAGTTCGAATTGTTTGTAATAAAATAAATGAATAGAAACGAGTGAAAAATTAAATTGATTTATTTGTTATTAATATTTTTTAATTATTTTTTTATAATTTTTAATTATTTATTATTATAATAAAAAAATATTATTAAAAAGTTTTTAGATATAATTGATTATGGAAAAAAAAAAAACTCTCCGCATCTTCTTTTGAACATAATCTTTCTTGACAGAAATTTTTATATCTCGGTTTTATAACCTTTTTATATTAAAATGTGTAAAATCATTGTATTTTTCTCTCCTTATTAAAAATAAAATATCTTCAAAATAATAAAGAACTCTTTATTATTTTCTATATTTATATCAATAATATTATTTTATTCTAACATTATGGTGGATGAATTTTAAGAATAATATATTTTTAAAAGAAAATTTATCAAATAAAAAATTTATTTATGTTGATAGGTAGTTTTTCTTTTCTTTTCAAATTTTTTTCTTTATTTATTCATCTTTTTTACTTGTTTCTCTCCTTTTTTACTTATTCTTTTAATTAAATTATTATATTAAAATTTAATAAAAATATGTTAAAACATATATTTTAAAAATAATATTGAAACTACAACCTATTAACTAATTATTTGAAATTATGATATCAATAAATAATTTTATTTATTTTGACAATAAATAATTTTATTCATGATGACGTAAATAATTAATTTAAAATTATGTTATAATATTAAATAATTTATCATCTAATTAATAATATATCAAATATTTATAAATTAAATATTTTTTATTTAATAATTATATCTAGTTATAATAATTTTAAGTTATGATAATTAATTAGATTAAATAATTTTAAAAAATATTTATTAAAAAATACTTTAAAATAAATATTTATTTTTTTCTTAATAATTATATCATAACAATAATATTATTTGTAACATTTCAAATCTATCATATAATATTTTTTTAATATAATATATTAAATTATAATAGTTATGGATTATTTAAATATTTGTTTAGTAATAATAAAATACTTATATTATTAAATTTTAATTTATTATTTTTAATTGAAGAATAAAATAGAAGGAGAAAATAAATAAAAAAAGAAAAAAATATGAAGTAAATAAAGAGGGAGAAAAATAAGAAAATAAATAAGAAAATAAAGAGAACATTTATATTATGTTAGACGAATTTATTTTTGTTTAATTAATAAATGTTAGTAAGCTTAAAAAAGAAGATAATGCAATTTTGTTCTCGTAAAACTCTATAAAATATTCTTTTTTTCTTTGTTATTGATTTGAGTATCTGAGTATTTTTGTATGTATATGTATGACACTCTCTAGTTCTCCTACTCGATAATTTGTTGTTCAAGATGTAAAGACACTTTGAAAAGAACTAATAAATCAAAGTGAAGATTAATGGTAAAAATAATTCTAAAAAATCATCATATATTATTTCATCCCATAAAAACTGAAATTAATCATAGTTAATCCATAATAAGTGAAATTAAGCATATAGTTAATCCAAAAACTAAAAGTTGTAAGTATAATTTGGAATTCTATAGAGAAGAAACCAAAAAATCCTAATTACCAAGTAAAAAATTGTTTTTAATTGAACTGAAATGAATTTCAGTTTTGAAGGAGTTAAGACACATGTTGGGAAAGTGCAGAAGATTTTAAGATGAGAGTGAGATTCGAACGATGGATATTTAATGGGAGTGTTAACCTGCAGGAAGAGTTCATGTGATGTAATTCACAAAATTCTTCTATCACACCAAATTATTATATAAGATACGTCGATTTTAAGTGACGGGTAAAAAAATAATTATTTGTAAGTGTTTTTATATATTTTTTTTATATTTTTTAATCATAAAAGTAACTCCACATTGTTTTTAAAAAATATGTTTTCCCTACTTATGCTCTTATAAATAAATGTACTTAAATGTTTTAAAATTTTCAATAAGATGATTTTATTAAAGAAAAACAATATTTATTACAAAATATTTATATTTCATAACCAAGATTGTTTCTATTAAATCTGAATAGATGGGTCCTTCCATAAATTGCATTGACTTGGTTTATATATTTTTTAAAAAGTAATCGTATTTTTAAGTTTCATCTAATTCTACCTTAACATGAATAATTTTGACTTTTTAAAATAAATAAAATAAAATAAAATAAAATATATTTTAAAATATTAAATTATATTAATAAAATTAATTTTAATTTTAAATGTAACCATTTAATATATAAATTATGTTTAATTTTATTCTCAATTAATAAGATCTCACTTTTAGTAGTTTAAGAGTATTATAGTTAAACAGAATAAGGGAAATTAATGAGTTAATAAATTATCTCGTTATTTGGATAATGCCTTGGTCACTAAATGTAGGAATGGATAATTAGTTAAATCAGTGGTGAAGAACTACTTAAGAAATTATGCATTTATTATTGTTTGTATAATATGTAAATTAGATTCAACAAATGTAATTATATTTTAAAATAAGATTAAGTATTTATGGTATGTATATTAATGCGTAATGACATAAGAGATAACTGATTTGTTGAAAATTAGGTAGATATTTATTTTAAATTATTTATTTATAAAAAAATATACAGATGAGATAATATTTATAAAATTTAAATTTTTTATCATTAATTTATCCTACTTTATATAATGTTCATCTTAACCCCTATAATAATACATGTGAATAATTTAGATCATCGTTTAAGTATGAAAGAAGAAATGTATTAAATTTTTTTTTAAACCACGTGTATGTGAACATCTCTTTTAATATCCCTTAAAATATTAGTATTATAAATATTAAAGATATTTATATTTTTATATAATTATATTGTAATGTAACTTTTAAGATAATGTAACTTTACTAGACTTTCATTAAAAGTATTAAGTAAAAAATAATTAAATTTAATTTATCTGTACTTGTAATAAATTTCACTCTTTTTCTTTTCATTTACTTTTCCAGTTCCGATTTTAGGTTTCCGTGTGCAAATACAAATCAAGGAAATAGATAAATTATATATTAAAAAAATGTAAAATATTTTGTTGTTTTTAGTTATTAGATTATTCTAACATATATTTTATAAATACAAACACTAAGACTTTTGTAACTTACATAATTAATAATCATTACATAATAAAAATAATTAAAATGTAAAAATAATCTTTAATTAAGAACATAACAGTTTCTTTTAAGTTGGCGTTATATAAAAATGAAGCTCATGTTTATTAAATATATTCTTGTGACATTTATTATTATAACACTTAAAATAAGGCAATAATTTTTTTTAAATTACACGTTAAAATAACCCAAAATAAAATTGAAAACCCCAATAGTAAAGAGTTCAATACTTCTTTAGTAAAAGTAAAAGAAGTGTTAAATAGATTTATATTATTATTTAATGATAAATTAATATATAAATATAATTGTTAAAATAAATCACTATAAAATTTAATAAATATTTTATAAATACTAGTTTGAAATCAATTTTTTTATCTCTGATACTCTCTGATTATTACATAACATGGAAAATAAATACATTAAGTAGTTTTAAGTTTTAAGTCAGATACTGATTTTTTTATCACTTGAACTTTTCGTCCCAAAAATACGTGATTATTATAATGAGAGAATAGAATATATGATTGTAATGTTTCGTTTAACAGAAGACAAAAAGACAACGAAAATGTGAAAGTTGAAATTTAACGAGGAATGGTGAGAAAATCTGAGTTTGAATGGTTCAACAGAAGCTGATCTTGACTTCTAGTTTTCTTCTTCGAGGATGCACCTAACTCCCAAGAATCACACGAACTATCACAACTAAACGACCCTTCCATCACGTCGTTTGGGCTACAGTGAATGCACTCCAATTTGCGTTTCTTCAAATCGGGTCGTTTACCCTCTTCATCGTTTCCTGACACATCCTCCATTATCAGCTTGTAGCATTCTTTCACGCTCTCCTGCAACACAACAATTCCACTTTTAGTTAAGGAAAATGCTTCATTTGATTTTCAAACTTTGAAAGAATCATTCTTTATGCAATTTTGTTATTAGAGTACTGATTAATCCCAAAAAATACAAAGTGATGAGTATAACTACAGTTTTTAGGACCATGACGAAGAAAGGTTTAAATAAGAACTACAGTCAAATAAAGAGATAACGAAGATTGAAAAATCTAGCTAGGTATTGTAGGGTCCACAATAAATGAGTTATGCAGGTGTAGGTTAATAGTGTAGATGCTCTTGTGTCTTTAACTACTTTTACCCATGAAAAGTTTCAAAACAGTCCCATTTTCCATGGTTCATAATAAGAATCAACACATTGGTTTAAGACAACGCCAACAACCTTGTCGATTCCGAGAATACCCAAGAGCTGATCGTGGTATTCCTCTCCCAAACCAGGCTCCACACCACTCACCACACGCATCATCGTTGCAGTTGCCAACACAGAAGGTAGAAAACTCATAAATCTTGAATCTGCAACATGAAATATTAAACAGCAACAACAACGAGATTGAGAATGTGAATCAGACAATGAAACCGAGGAAGAAAGCACAAGATCTGGTCGGTAGTTACCTGCAAAGACAGAGAGAAGAACGGTTTCACACCTTCTGAGAAACTCCAAGCAGAGATGACCCTTTAAGCCAAGTTTCCTCGTGATGAAATCAAGAAACGAGAGAGGTGTTACCGGATTCATCTTCCATCCAAGAGTGGAAAGGATCAAGATTTCCATTCTCCTAATCGTTTTCGCTTCAAACACGTATTTACTCTCCCCCACCTTCACGATTGAAGCATCACATAAGCAACACATATACAAGTTACAAACATTGATCAAATCTAATACTGGAGATCCCACATTCATTAGATGTATGAACAAAACAATGCATGTAAGTAAGATTAACAGAGTCACCAAAAGACACATACTTGGAGGTCCACGAACAGGGGCACGTGGGTCTCTTCAACTTTAGCCGCTAGAGAGAGACACGCCACTGCAACGAGTTGCGTGAGCCATGGTTTCTCGTTCTGGAATCTGAAGCTGCAGAGGAACCTATCGAGGTAGTTAACAGCCAGAAGAGCTGTGAGGGCAGAAAAGGAATGATGAACATTCACTTTGAGAATCCACTCCACAGCTTCTCCGCGGGATGAAGCCAAAGAGGGGATGTTTAGGAGAGAGTTGGAAAGGTTGTTAAGGTTTTCTTTGGAGAGGAGAGAAGCTAGTTCCTCGTTGTCCCAAAAGAGGTCTTGTTCTGAAAGGACCACATCGGAGAAGTTTCTCTCTTTTGTGGTGTTTCTGTATTCATCTTCTTCTCTTGGTTTTTCTTCTTCCCAATGATTGTGGTCTTCTAAGCAGTATAGGGTGTCTAGAAGGGGTTTTGGGTAGTGAGGTGCCATGCTTGTTCTGAGAAGAGATGGTTTAGTGGTGAAGATCTTTGTTCATTGTAGGGTGGAGAAAGAGCAGATTGTGAAATGGTTTGATGGATTGGACATTGGAGAGGTTTGCTCCTTTTGAGATGAGGAGAATAGAATAGAAGGAAAAAGGAGGCACTGAGTGAGGCAGAGAGCAGTGACCATAAACTAAAGGGCCTTCTTATTTATTGATGATGGGCTTTCTCTTGGAGAACAAATTTTTGGGACCGATAGATAAGCAATTAATAAATAGATTCTATTGTTTTTTTTTTTAATCTCTTTTGCTTGAAATTCTTTCTCCAACAAAAAGTTAGTTTCTTGTATTAAAGACCTATTTTAAATATATAATCTTTTAAACATTGTTTTTTCTTCTTCTTTTCCTCCTAAGTTAACGTAGACTTTGTTTATAATTGTTTATAAACATATCTTTCTTTAACTATTTCTTTTGTTGAAATTGCAGCTATACTTATTTTTCCATTTTAAACAATTAAGTTGATAAAATTTTAAATTTTACTTTAAATACTAATTGTTAATATATTAGTTTTTTAACGGAGAAACTCAAACCCACTCCAACATATATCTCTTTCTTCCATCTTTACTATCAAGTTTAGTAATTTGTATTTATACCTTCCGTAATATAAAAATGAAAACTTCAAATTTATTTGGAGAACAATATTAGTATGTAAATTTGGGTCCTTCTACGATAATATTTTAACTAAATTATGTATAGTATTAACTTTAATAATAATAAAAAAACTGAAATATTTATCCCTGCTATTATGTCGGATAAAATATTTTTTTCACTGATATAATAATAGTATTTGGTTCTTACTAACACTATGCAATTTAAATTTATCCAGAAAATGAATATTTTGAAAAGTCATTAATTTGGCATTTGCAATAAAAGAAAGAATTGAAGTGAAGGACAAGAACCGAGTTCTTGTTTTGGTACGATAAAGAGGTGTCTGTGTGAGAAGATAATAAGGCCATTAAAAACAATAATAACGTTACAATGCAACTCAGAAGCACAGAACAGAGTACAGGGATGGAACCATATCATTACGTTATATCAATGAATAAGATAGCATGACAAAATAATTAAATTCACATTATTTTCATGTATTTTCAATTTAAATATTTTTAATCAATACTGATAGTAAACTCTATTATAAATTTATTACAGAATGTTTCGTCCATTATTTTGATTTCATTTTTATTGTGATAATAAGGTTTAAATTATTTTTTATATTTGAGATACTGTATTTTTAATTTTATATCATTTTATTCTTAATTAAAGAAATGAAAGAAGAATATATATATATATATATATATATATATATATATATATATATATATATATATATATACTGATGTAAAACTTATCATCGTGTCAAAAGAAAAAATATATTATTATTAGATGAAAGTTTATTTATGAAGTTATTAGTGAAATTTTTAATTTCTTTAATTATAGACTTTAGATTAAATGTGGTCATCTTTCTTGTATTTTTATATTAATTTTGTCTACGTGGATTTAGTTTGTTCTTAATTTTAAAATACAGCATACATCTTTAGAGAAAAATTTATCAGTACGAATAAAAATTTGTTAATACAATTCAAATTTTAATTATTATAACAATTATTACGATACAAAATACTTATCGAAATATTAAGGATAATTTTTTAAAAATATGAAAAAATAAATTAGAAAAAAAAGTTACCAAAACATTAAACAAAATCATAAAAAAAATATGTACATAAAATACCGTTAAAAAACATCTTCTTCATTAATAGTTACATATTAAATTATAAAATAATATAAAGTCTAAAATTATTATTTGTCTAAAAATCACGTATTGAATAAACAAAATCAATCTATACATAAGTTAAAAAAATGTACAAAATTAATACGATTTTTTTATAAAATAAATAAAATTGGGAAAAAATTAATTTTAACGTATTAAAAAAGTGTTCTAGAGTGCATTTGAATGAGCTATTTCAGTAAACACAATAAATCTTTTAGAAATACCTTTAATTTACATAAAAAATAATTTAACTTTATTTATATGATAATCACTTATTCAATAAACAATAGTTGTTCACCGAAGCACGTATCAACTTCTTTAGGGAAAGAACCAAACATCACCTAAAATTCTTGATATTTTGAAGTCACTCTCATGAATTTCAATCAATTTAATGACAGAATCAAGAGACTTCCAACACTGTTTAACTAAAACTTAAATTTAAAATCCCAATTTACGAGAATAATTAAATTTTCCAATTTACACGAAGAGGATTGCCACATGATATAATTTTTTTTTCTTCTAAGCCATAAATAAATAAGAAATTATATATATATAAAGTTTGTAACAGAGTGAAATTCGTCTAGTCTATATTAACTGAGAGAAAAAAAAAGCGTGTAGTTAATTTCTGAGATGATAAGTTGCTTTCTCTTTTATATGTTTTTAATTATTATTTTTTTTACATATTTTCAAAGGCTCAATCTCCAATGAAAAAGTGGGGGCATGATGGGAATAAAGAGAAAAAAAAATGCAGAGAGAAGAAAAGAGGTTGCTGTAACTACCAAGTGCATGCAGTAGGAAGTGATTTAGGATGAAAAGAAAAAAATAATAAATTTATGATTCATATTGAACAAAAAATTATTTAAAATAACTTTAATTTTTTGTATATTTGAAACGTGGATCTGAAATTTGAAGTAGCAAACCAAACACGCCTTAAGACGATGGTAGATAAAATAATATAATAAGGTGGTGGTTGTGCATTTTGGAACCTAAGCTGTTTCTGTCGTGGTTTCCAGCAAACACCAATGTTGCAACAAACTGCTTTTTCTCATTGCTCTTACACACACCACACTTTAGTACCTAACTTAGGTTGTCGCCTCCTTCTAACATGGACCAGCTTGCTTTAAACTCTGGAACATGCACTTCAATTTTACTTTGGTTTTTCAGTTTCATTATTTTTAACGATTGTCTACAAAATTTTCAAAGTACAATGGTTCCAACGTTGCTTTTTCAATCAGATTACAAAGGTTTGATTTTAACAAATTACTTATGAATACAACTTGGAAATAATCGATTTTTGATTTAAAAATGAAATGCATTTGTGAGGTTGGAATGGAGGGAGGGAATAGAGAGAGGAGAAAGATAATGATGAATTTTGGGGTGTAGAAAGAGGTGTAGCCGTATAGGTATATCAAAAGACTTTGTAGAGACAAAAACAGGAACTGAGACTGTGTGTGGTCAAAGTCCCCACTGTGACGAAGCAGAAAGTGGTTGATGATTTGGTTGGTTGAGAATGAAAATGGAAATGAAAACGAAAAAGTGGGAGAGTCTTTATTGGGACTCATAAATCCTTTCTGCTGGTGCAGCTGGTACAATGCAGACAGAGATCAGCATGCAGTGGATTAGCTGGCTGACATGGTTATGTATACATACATAACATTACATACTGGAATGAATGAATATCTTTCTTTCTCATCATCGTATCATGATTCTCTCTTCTCTTATCTTCTCTTATCTTCTCTTCTCTGCTCTGTTACTGGTACGGGTAACAGCTTCAGAAATGAGTTACCCCATTTTTGTTTCCCTTTAATTTGTTGTCGTTGCTGTTAATTTCTTGGAGGATAAATTCAAAATAGTTTTATTAATTATAATGGCATCTGGAACAGAATGAGTTTGATGTCCAAATTATATATTAAACTACAGTAATATAACAAAAGTTTATATGGGTATTAAATAATATCTCTATGTCTTCACTTAAGATAATAAAGGTATTTTGAATAAATTCTTTTACTTGCGAAGGAAAATATATAAAAAAATTTTAAAATATTTATACTATATTTGAATGAGAATTTTTTAAAAGATAATAGAAAATTTAAAATATTTTATAATAAAATGTTATTTTGAAACATACTGTTAAAATAATTTATCTCAAATTTGCAAAAATCTTGGAAGATCACCAATAATAAAAATGGGCAAAAAGAAATTACAAGAAGAGAATATAAATATTTTTAATATAAAAAAAATTTCATAGTAAACCAAGTTATATTAAGATTAAAATATGGATAAAAAAGTTAAATCAAAATACACGAACAAATGATTATAAACAATTTATGTATCAAAGTAGTAATATTAAAAAAATTTGAAAAACAAAGAAAAATAAACTTAAAATATAACCACATATTGATTTCTCTAACTAAATCAAACTGTCAAAATAAAGGAACTTATATCTTAAACCTTATGTTAAAATTTTAACTTGATCAAATAGTGAATGAAACATGAATCATAATTTTACTAAAACAGCTCGATAAATATGTCAGACAGTTTTTTTTTTAAACGGCAAACATTTTTCCTCTATTTTTCTAACCTATAAGACATCTCTTCATTTAGGTTAAATAAGATAAATAGACTTGACTAATTTGAAATTCTTAGGCAACTAATTGGGAGTTCAACAAAACATATCTCTTCCCTCGCAACTATGTGAAAATGACCACCAATATGATGATCTCACAAAACACTTCAAACTTTCTACCTTGGTAGTGTATTAGTCATTATATAAGTACCATTGTCATTAATATGTAGTAGTGGATCTTCTTGAAAACTGAGGAGGGCGGTGACCCCCTTCAAATTTGTCACTCTCATGTAATTTATGATTTTGGTCCCCCAAATTTAATGATCATTTAATATATTTACTTATATATTTATAATTTTATCATCTCACCCTCTTCTCATTGTAATTACCATATAATTTAGGATTTTGACCCTCCAAACTTAATGATAAATTTAATATGTTTATTTATATATTTACAATTTTATCATCTCAACCTTTTCATCTTCTTTTACTTTTTATATTTATTAATAATACAAGATCCACCATTGCCAGTATGAACTTTATCTAACTCCAACATCTTAGCATCCAAAATATCATGTATCCAATGATACCTCACATAAATATGTTTAGACCTAAAA